ATCTTCGTAGTCTGTTATCCTTCATACTTTTTACATAATTGTCACATTTTTTTTGTCTTTGCGAAACATATTTTACTACATCTGGTACGCGTTGTTCACTGATATTCTGTTTCTATTGGTTTTCTCTGATATTGCTCTTAGTAGATTTATTTCGATTGTACATAGCATATTTTTGTTTTTGTTTTCAGTATCTTTCCGGCTGAGTTTACCGAAAGTACAAGCTGATTATAGCCGCAAATGTCAAATATTTAACAAAAGTTTTGGTTTGGCAGTGTTGCACGTTTTTATAATAGAGATACTTTAGAAAAGTATATTTTGTTTATATTATGATATGATCTGCAAGTTTTTATTTATTTAAAATTATGAATAATGAGTAAATGTTTGTTTCTTTGGATATTAATTGCAGTTAATTATTAGAAAAATATTTTAGCAATTTTCTCTCTTTATATTTGAAGTTTTCTCTCTTTATATTTAAAGCATGCAACATATGCATTATAAAAACATTCCAACATTGCCTAACCGAAATATTTTATTTCATGGTTGACATTTGCGGTTATATTTAGCTTGTACTTTCGGTAAACTCAACCATCATTCCTTGATTCTATTCCATAGGCTATTGCGTGTCTGATACCGGTGATACTGTCAACTTATTTGTTCCTGTCGTTGGTATAAATGTTGACATATGACAGCTAGCCTTAAATTTTCTATGAAGTTTGTTTATTTTGTTTTTTTTTTCTAAGAAGCTAACTCTTTAATTTTTCATTTTAATTAAAAGATTGATCTTTAATTTTAATATATTTCCGCAGAGGTACAAATAACTGAATACTAGTTTTAAAACTTTTGTGCAGCGTTTCCCAATTGTAAATAGATAGGACATATGTAAGTCTTTTTTTATATTTTATTTTGGTATAAACCCATGTAATTTGTTTATTTTTTTGTGTAACTGTGTGTTTGAGAGAAAAAAAAAGGTTATTCATTTTCTCTGAACCATTTTGTCTTTTATTTTAAAAAAATCTCCCTATTCTTTTTCTGTGTTTACTTTTTTTAGGAAGGAAAAACCTTTTTTTCCTTCCTCCAGTAAGACTAGGATCCTTTGAAGCGGCGCCCTTATTTCAAATTGCTAAAAGCCCTTTCTTGTTGTTTCTATTTGCCCATTTGTCCAGGAGATTTATGTAAGTACCCTCTTTTGTTTAATTTTTGGTAGTTACCCAAATCCGACCCCTTGTTATTCAACTTATCCACGACCCAGCTCTCCAATTAACCACTGAGTGCCGTCCGTACAAGTATCGTTTTATTTTGCTTGCCCTATCTCCACCCCCAATAATTTCTGTCCCTAATTTTCACTCCATAATCTTACCCTATATTAGGTAAAATAATATATTCGTTACAGGGGCATGGGGAGAAACAAGTGGTCTCACATTATTCCATGAATTTAAACTTTCACAATCTTTTCTAAAATTTGTTGAAGAGGGTATATCTGAATATTTGCTCTTCCAGTGTTTATATATTTTTTATGTTGTTTTTTACGTAACTGACTGATGACTCAGTCCTATATATTGTCAGTACTACTTTTAATGAAAATTTCTGATTTTTTCATTGTATACATATTGGCTTATATATATATATATATATATATATATATATATATATATATATATATATATATATATATCTGATATATCGACTGATAAAATCTAATGAAACAGAATATAGACACCTGCAGAGAAGAATAAAAGAGGAGATCAAATTAGCCAAAGAAAAATGGATGGGAGAAAGGTGCGACGAAATGGAGGATGTAATATCTAAACACGACTTGTGCACAAAAAACTAAAAGAAATAAGTAACATATTTAAAAAACGAGTTCCCTTTGTACTCGTTGAAAATAATAACAAGATTATTGTAAATGAGCACGAAATAAGAAAAGAATGGCAGCTGTATGTATCAGAGTTGTTTGAAGATGACAGGAATAATATTATCGAATTTTACCATAACTTTATTGACGGCCTAGAAATTATGAAATGCGAGGTAGAACACGCTATATATAATGCAAAAATTAGAAAAGTTTGTGGTCCAGATGATACACCAACTGAGTTGCTGAAACTAATAGAGAATGATAACATAAAAGTAGTGATAAGACCTTTTAATTCAATATACAACACTGGAGTGATTCCCAAAGATTGGCTCAAATCCATCTTTGTCGCCATACCTAAAAAACACAATGCGAGAAAATGCTCAGAATATCGAATAATTAGCCTAATGAGCTACACTCTTAAAATTTTTCAAAGAATACTTTACAACAGAATTAGACGCAAGTGCGAAGAAGATCTTGAAGATACCCAATTTGGTTTTAGAAATGCTATGGGAACCAGGGAGGCACTTTTTGCGCTTAACATCCTATTACAAAAATAAAGATCAAAGAAAAGATGTATTTGCATGTTTCGTGGACTTGGAAAAGGCATTCGATAAAGTAAAGCATGTAAAATTAATGCAAATACTGAAGAATATCGAAATATATGACAAGGATATTCGTGTAATTAAAAATTTGTACTGGAATCAAACTGCTGTCGTAAAAATTGGAGATAACTACACCGATAAAATCTCTATACAGCGAGGAGCCAGACAAGGTTGCATTTTATCGCTAATATTGTTCAATGTTTACTCGAACTAGTTATTTAAAGAGGCACTTGAGAGACAACCAGATGGCATAAAAATCAATGGGGAACTACTTAATCTGACTGGATATGCAGACGATACAGTAATTTTATCAGATAATATTGAAGGTCTTCAAATTCGGCTTTATCGTATTCAAGAGGTAGAAGAGGAAATGGGCCTTAAAATAAACTCAAACTTAGTCGTGACCCACATCCCGATGCAAAGCTTCAATTAAACGGAGTCCAAGTTAAGAAAGTTCACAAAATGACATATTTGGGAACTGTAATAGCGGACCAACTAGATCCAGACATAGAAATTAAACGTAGAATAGCAATGACTAAAACTACTTTTATGAAAAAATCATTTCTTTGCAATAACCATCTCAGCTTAGAACTAAGACAAAGAATGGTTAAATGCTTTGTTTGGTCCGTACTTTCGTATATATATATATATATATATATATATATATATATATATATATATATATATATATATATATATATATATATATATATATATATATATATATATATATATATAACAAGCGAGTTTTCTACAGCTGGCGCCACTTCTCACATCCTAATTTCCAGCGTTTTCTGTCGAAGCAATCTTCAGTTGTTAGATCTCTGGCGGTCATTGCATCGTCGACATCGTCTCTCCAGGATCGTCTTGGTCTACCTCGTTTTCTTCTAGTTGGAGGAGTCCATTCTTCTATTTTTTTTTGGCCATCTATTTTCCGGCATTCTCTGAAAATGTCCATACCAGTTAAGTCTTTTGGCTTCGATTGTCTCTATTATGTCTAGATCGATTTCCATTTCTCTCCGAATATCTTCGTTTCTCACCCTATCAAGTCTAGTGAGCTGGCAACATCGTGCTGACAACATTTATTCCATAATAGTCCGTGTAGCTGTCTGGTGGCTGATCTTGCTTGGCCAATCCAATGGAATGTATTTCTTCGCTACTTCCTGCTTTTCATGTTATTTGGACCCCCAAGTACTTAAAATTGTCTGTTGGTTTTATAGTTCCCATTCTATCTGTAGGCTTTCTGGTTGTTCTCCTACAACTAAGTACTCAGTTTTTTGTATATTAATTGTGAGGCCCCATTTGGTGTACTCATCTTCCAGTTTTCTAAGCATGTAGCTTATATCACTCTCGTCTTCAGCTAGAATGGCTTGGTCATCAGCGAAATGTATCGTGTACAATCTATCATCTCCGATTGGGATGCCCATATTGCAGCACTTTCTTCTCCACAGTGAGAGTGCCTCATTTAGATATATTTTGAAGAGTGTAGGTGCTATGCAGCAGCCTTGCTTTAGGCCCTTACTAATAGGAATTTCTCTAGTTAATCTATTTCCAGTTTTAATGTTTGCCGTCACATTTTTGTAGAGCTGTTGTACTGCTTGTATATTTTTTTTGCTTATTCCTTGTTTTTCCATTGCCACCCAAAGCATTGAAAGTGGTACACTATCGTATGCCTTTGTCAGATCTATAAAGACTATATGAGTTTAAAGGTTGTGGGCTAATCTTTTTTCGATAACTTGCTTTAGATAGAATATACTGTCCATGCAGGATCTGCCTGCACGAAAGCACGTAGGTACTTTTGTATAATGCAGAAGTAAGGACGCTAAAAGTATCGATTATAAACAAAATTGAAGCATTAGAAATGTGGGTTCATAAGAGAATGCTAAAGATACCTTGGACAGAAGGGAAAACTAATGAAGGAGTACTAAGGAGCATCAACAAAGATAGAGAACTGCTAAACACTGTTAAACATCAAAAAATGTCTTATCTCGGACATAAAGTAAGAAGTCGATATAAAATATTACAAATGATCCTTAAAGGCAAAATAGAGGGCCGTAGAGGTGTAAGAAGAAAACAAGTTTCTTGGTTAAAAAACATTCGTGAATGGACTCGAATAGTAAATGCAGGACAATTTTTTCATATTGCAGAAGATCGAGAAGCCTTTGCAATGATGATCGCCAACGTCGGATAATTCTGATATGGCACGCGAAGAAGAATATACCTGTTTACAGGTCCCCTAGACAGTTCGTCTGAGGACCAGCAACCCCAGTTTAGGAATCTTACGTTGCCATGAACTAAACGTCCTAGACTATTATAAGTAACAATCTAACTTCAAATTAATTTACCTATATTTAAAGGGTTTTTACCCGTATATTTAGTAGATTTACTTATGTATACCTAGTAAAAGCACTGATGATGGAATAGTAATTCTGAAAACGTACTGTGATGTTGCCCAAAAGGGTTCTTTTATATTATTATACCTTAAAGGATATTTCATATATTTTATCTATTGATACTAATAAGTTAATTTTATTATATTATGTTACCTTCTTGTTTCTTTTTCTAAATATCGTATAGCTCTTTCATGGAATTCTCTCTTTTGGTTATCTGTTAATAAATTGTATGTAGTCTCTCTAAATTCAGATGAACGAAATCTAAGATAGCCACAGGAAGCATATTTTGGTAGATCTCTGCATGCTTCTAAAATATTTACAAAATATTAGTTAAAAAAATGTATTTTTCGTGTCATGGTATAACATTTAACTTTAATAAATAATATTAAATACTACTTCTTCCTCCTCCTCCTCTTCTTCTTCTTCTAGTTCCATAACCGTTATCTGTCGTTCGATATCACGTTGGCTACCATAATCGCTATTGTGACTTTAAATCAATTTAGGGATTATAATATATATTACACTATTATGTAGGCAATAATACAAGTTATTAAAGTAAATAATTAAATTTGGAAAAGTATTTAGTATTTGTTTACGTTTTTAGTATTTTAATGTTAATACATTTTATTATTTAGATTAAAATATGTTACTTATAACATTTATTTTTATTGTATCATCTTTTAAACAAAACACACAGGCACAAAACTCTTAAAATCTCAAATTTGTTTTGAATAATTTATCTAAATTATTATCTTTCAAATATGCGCTGCATATGCAATACAAAGCTTTAATTTATGGTGGCATGTCCATAACTTCGAAGTGCCTCGGACTAGATCATGTACCACCGAGTAAGGATTTTTTTAGTCCCTATGGACCCTATGAACGAGGCAGTAGATAACCAGAAGTCAGGATGGTAACATATTATACTCGTCTACGACTGCTGATCGCGTTGGTAGCATTCGCACTCATTCCTTAACGCAGTTGGCGTCGCGACGTTAGCCACCGAGTTGAGATGTTGCCCTTCTTCTTCTTTGAGTGCTTCTCCAATCGGATATTGGATATCGTTATTGCGATTCTAATTTTATTTACTGCTGTTGGAATAATTCGTTAGTGGTACAGCCAAACCACTCTCTTAAATTGCTCATCCAGGACATTCTTCTACGGCCTGGATTTCCGCGTCCTTGGATTTTTCCTTGCATTATATTTTGTAGGAATGTGTACTTTTGTCCTCTCATCAGGTGGCCTAAATATTCAAGTTTTCTCTTTTTTATATTCATGATAACTTCTGGATCGTTATTTATTCTGCGTATTAAGTCTTCATTTCTAATTTTATCCACCCAACTTATTTTTGGTATACGGCGATAGCACCATATCTCAAAGCTTTCAGGATTTTTAATATTCTTCTTTTTAAGAGTCCATGCCTCAACACCGTAAAGCACTGAATGTACTGAATGCACTGAAAGTACTGAATACATAACATTTTAACACTCTAGTTCGTAGATGAATACTAATTCACGATTACAAAATAATTTTTTCATTTTTATAAAGGTAGACCCGGCAATTTCAATACGTCTTTTTATCTCGAGATTTTGGTCACTTGTTTCATTGATGTGGGTTCCCAAGTATTGGCTTATTTTTTTGGGTTGAGTACCGTTTATTGAGATATTAATGTCATATATTGAATTCTTACTGAAGGTCATATATTTGGTTTTTTTGACGTTCATCCTTATGCCGTACTTACTACATATCTCATTCATACTTTCAACTAGATGTTGTAGATCTTCCGCTGTTCTTGCCATTATCACAGTATCGTCAGCATATCGAATGTTATTGATAATTCTTCATTGACTATTATCCCTTCGTTTGCATGTGAGAGAGCTTCTTGGCATATTTGTTCGCCGTAGATATTAAACAAGAGCGGTGACAATATACAACCCTGTCGTACTCCTCTACGTATTTCTATTTCGTCCGATGTTTGGTCTTCTATTTTTATATTAGCTCGCTGATTCCAGTACAGATTTAATATTATCTGTGTATCTCTGGTGTCGATGTTCTTACATTCCAGGATTTCTTTGAGTTGATTGTGGCGTACTTTGTCAAAGGCCTTTTCAAAGTCTATAAAGCAGATGTGTACCTCTTGGTTAACTATTGATCTAACTTTTGATAGATTCGGTTGTGCATGACTCTAAAAAATATTTTCAGCAGATGATGCATCAAGGAGATTGTTCGATAATCTGAACATTGCATTGCCTTAGTTTTCTTCGGTATGGTGACAAACGTAGACAGCAACCATTCTTGAGGTATTATAATAGTACTGTATATTGTATTGAATATATGCAATATTATGGTTACGGATTTATCATTCAAAAGCTTCAACAGTTCTGTAGGAATTTCATCAGGTCCATTTGCTTTTCCATTTTTAGCGTTTCTTATTGCGTATTATACTTCTTCTTTCAATATGTCTGGCCCATTTGCATTGATTATCTGAGTTAAGTTGTTTTTATCGTCTTTAAATAATTCATTCAGGTATTCTGTCCATCTTTTTGTTTTATTCTCTAAATCTACAATTTAGATTTCCATCTTTGTCTTTAATAACCTATTTGGCATTTCTTTAAGCTTCCTGTTACCTCTTTTACTTTTTTGTGCATATTGAACGCATCGTACTTTTTCTCAGGTTTCCATTTCTTCACACTGTTCTTTAATCCACTCCACTTTGGCTTCTTTTATTCTCTTTTTTATGTGTTTATTTATTTCTTTGTATTTTTTTGGGTAATTCTTCATCTTTCTTCTTTGTTCCATCAAGTCTAGTATATCTTGTGTCATCCACCCCTTATTCTTTAATTTTGTAATATGTTTCTTTCACCCCTTATAAGTTTATTTAAATCTAGTGCCTTTCTGTGTAGTCTTCTAATCTTTTTTAAGTCTCGGTTCTATAACAGTAACTACCGGGCTATGATCTGGGCCTATATCAGCTCCTGGGTACGTCTTAGTACATTTAACAGCATTACGATACCTCCTTGCTATCATAATGTAGTCTATTTGATGTCTCACTATTTTTTCTTTGGTATGTTGTGGAGATGTCCATGTATATAACCGTCGAGAAGGTAATTTGAAAAAGGTATTTGTTATTCTTCTTCTTAACATGCCATACACCAAAGTGCGTAGGCGACTATCTCATTACTAGAATTCTGTTCTTGGCGGCGTGACACAGCTCACCTGTACTGTGTATTCCTGTCCATTCTTTAATATTCCTTAACCAGGATAATTGTTTGCGGCCGGCTCCTCTCCTACCTTCGATCTTCCCTTGTAAGATTAACTGTGGTATTTCATATTTTGCTCCTCTCAATATGTGCCCAAGGTAACCAATCTTGCGTTTTTTAATTAATTTAAAGAGTTCTCTTTCCACGCCGGCTCTATTAAGGACGTCATTGTTTCGAACTCTATCCACCCAAGGTATGCGCATCATTCTTCTCAATGACCACATTTCAAATGCTTCAAGTTTGTTGATAGATGTTTTTTTCAAAGTCCACGTTTCCATGCCATAAAGCAAGATGGACCATATATAGCACTTGACCATTGTGTAGCGTATTTCGAAGTTTAGGTGTTGATTACATAGGAGCGGTCTGAATTTCACAAGAGCTTGTCTTGCCATTTGTATTCGGGTTTTTCTCTCGTGTTGTGGATCCGATTGGTCATTGATTGTGGTGCTCAGGTATTTAAAAGTTTTCACGCGATTTATACGATTGTCACCTATTCATATTATCGGGTTTTCTGGAGGGTTTCTGCTAATGACCATATATTTCGTTTTTAAAATGTTGAGTTTGAGGACATATTTGTTATTACGAAGTCTTAATCTCCTCTGTCATTTCTGTTTCCAAGTTCATAGTTTCCCACTTGTTCTCCTACCTTACCTTAACCCACCTTGGCATTAAGATCGCCCATTATTTAAGACTTGAATAAGATTTATTGAGTTATGTATAAAGTTAAGCGCTCTGAATAAGAAGTACAGGTAGCTAGATGTTGCCCTACTACAATTAATTCATTGTTTCTTTTATGTCGTTGTCGTCCTCTTCATCGGACGAAGAAAGCATTGTTTTAAATTCTAATTTTAAGACATTGTGTTTATGCAGAGAACAAACAAAAATAGCAGTGCATCCTCTAAATAAGAAGCGAATTTACTATGGCGAATTTCACCAACTTTATAAAGACCTTGAAAAAGATTCTCATTGCTTTTTTGAATAGATGAGAATGAGTACAAATAGGTTTGATTATATTCTAAACAAAATTGAAGCAAAAATAAATATCACTTGGAAGAACTGCCATGTCCAACCTATATCAGCTGAAGAAAGACTTGTGTTAACATTACGGTAAGTTAAAAAAGTTTAAAAAAAATATTTTATTGAAAAAAATGTAATACAAATTAGTCTGAAACGTGCATGTCATCAAAAACATTTGGCATACTTGAGCCACAGAATAATAAACAATCAGAAGGGCCACTCTCAGATGCCGCCTTTGAAGTTTTTCAGCACGCGCGCCATGTTTTAGGAGGACACAGACATATGATTTGTGTGGTTATGTAATTGTTTATATTTATGTTTAATTATATTATATTTATGTTATTATATTTAACAATGTTAATATAATTGTATAGTATGTCTACGATTGCCGTAAGTCAAAAAAACCTGGTTAATTTTTCCATGCACACCACATAAACAACACTAATTTCTTTAAAATCCTCCTAAAGCATGGCGGAACGTCTGCGCGGAGGAGATGCGCGTACTTAATTTTCCGTGGAGAGTGGGTATTCTGTTTGTTTATTATTCTGTGCTTGAGCGCTGAAAATGCAGGTTTTCTGACGGAGCTTGATGATGTTTAATTCAAGACTTTTGAAATTTTCATGTCGAATGGGCTGTAAAATATTCTGAGGTATTATGGAGACTTATTGTGTATTTTGAGGGATGCTGCTTAATCTACGAGAGTTGTCATGATAAATAGGCCTTGCAAGTGATTTAATCGATGACATTACAGATGGCGATTGACTGTGGTGATAAACATTTGCCTGAGCAGTGTTTTGTGAGCCAGTAGGTTGTGTGGCTGACGGAATTTCGTTATCTAATAATTGCAATACTGTAATACGAAACTTCATCTCTTGTTTTGGAGTCAATACTTTTACATGCGGTAAAATACTTTTAAAAATGCTTTAACTACGACTATTTATATATTTTTCTTTGATCTATTTTCTTCTTTTCTTTTTAGGTAACTTATTTTTTCCTGTTCTACTTTTAAAAAGGCATCTGCAATCGGATA